GCCCCAAAGTAAAAATAACCACATAGCCATCAACCATAAGGTAGGTTAATAAACCATGACATTCATGCACTAAGTCACCACATGGCAGCGATAAAGAATGAAGTGTCATGCGGTGATACAGTGAATCTCACCAGGGATCCTAACCAAAGGAACCAAGACACAAAAGGCCACGTGGCCATTCAAATAAACAACAAAAACAGGCCAAACTGGACCAGGAATCTGAATCCTGCCGAGAGAAGTCCTGGCGGACATGCAGAGGAGAGAGACGTCAGAATGATTGCAAACTCTTCCATAGAAAAGCGATTTTGCAGATAATGCCGATTCCCAAAACACACAAGCACACTACGAGAAAGGAAAAGTCCAAGTCAATTTCACTAAAAACTAGTGGCAAAACGTTAAACAAACCGTTATCTCAAAATCCGAGATGTACGTAAGAGACAACGAGCAGGCTCAGTTACTATGAGAACACGAAGCAGGGTTCTACTGAGTAAATCTACTAAGCTCACTCCCATCACGTTAGAAACCATCAACTTTTTACCTAGTACACCTGAAGAAGGGCATGTCCTATGACCAGCAATTCCGTGCCTGAGGGGATACCCTAAAGAGACGTTCACACACACACACACACACACACACCAGATGTGGATGAGAAGGCTTCCAGCAATGTTGGTCTCAAAAAAACCCAAACACCAGACATATCATCAAAGAATGGAAAAATAAGCTGTGGTACACTCCAAAATAAAATGCTACAAAATAGTAAAAAACAATGGACAAACAAATACTGAATCACAAAAGCATGAGAAAAACAAACCAGAAGACTATATATATGACTTCACACACACACACACACACACACACACACACACACACACACACACACACACACAAGCATGTGCAGAATTAAGTACAGGTCTAGGAATAAACATGCAGAAATATTATATCTAAAACTTCAAAGTGGGGGGGGGGGGGGGGGGCTGGAAAGATGGCTCTCAGTGAAGGGCACTCCTGCTTTTTTCAGAGGACCCAAGTTCGGTTCCACAGCACCCACGTCAGGCAGCTCACCATCTCTAACTCCAGCTCCACGGGCTCAGATGCCTCAGGCCTCCATGGGCACTTGCACCCACATGCAGACACACACACCTACATATAACTAAAAATAATAAAAACAAACACTCTTAAAAACTGCAAAGCGAGTACTGGTAATCTATAAAACAGAAAATAAGGACGAACTCAAAGGTATCGGTGAGAATAGGAGAAAAATGAAGTTTCACAGCAGCTGAGGGTGACGGGGTATGGGCAACATTCTATTTCTAACTCTACGTGTTGGTGACATGGGCAAGTTTTTGTTTTAAAAATGCTGCTCCAATGTGTGTGTGTGTGTGTGTGTGTGTGTGTGTGTGTGAAGTCATATATATAGTCTTCTGGTTTGTTTTTCTCATGCTTTTGTGACTCAGTATTTGTTTGTGTATAGTGTGGTCCATTGTTTTTTTACTACTTTGTAGCATTTTATTTTGGAGTGTATACCAGCTTTCTCCAGCGGAGTGTCACTGTGTATATCAGCCACACTCTAGCGTAGGTTCCACACCCAGGAGTGGCTGGCTGGCCAACACAAATCGGACCCCATGGGGTTTTATGGGCTTTTTGTTTCCTCTTGGTTTTATTTTGTTTTCTTTTCTTTTTTTTTTTTTTTCTTATTGGCTTCTTGCTTGTTTCAATTTTCAGTTTTTGGTTAGTTTTGTTTGTTTCAGGAGAGAGCAAGAAAGAACATGAAGCTGGGTGAATAGAGAGATGGGAATGGTCTGGGAGAAGTTGGGGGAGGGGGAAATGATCAAAATATATTGTGTGGGAAAAGAATTAGATTTAAAAAAAAAATGCTGCTCCAAGCCTTCCTTTGCAAGTGAGTCTTTTGGTACGCATGGGCAAAAGTCTTTTCAGAAACAGATCTCCTAGGTAATTGCTGGCATTTTATTGTAAAAGTTAGGTAAATGAGGAGCCAGCGAGATGGCTTGGGAGAGGGATGTAGTAAAGGCTTTTGCTACCAAACCTGATGACCCCCATGGTAGAAGGAGATGACTGACATCTGAAAGCTGTCCTCTGACCTCCCACCACCACCTTGGCACCTGCATGCACACACACACACACACACACACACACACACACACACACACGCACACGCACACGCACACGCACACACAAATGTAATTTAAAGTTTTTCAATTAGGTAAATAACACCACAAAGATGTTTTCAAAATGTAGGAAATACTACAGGACAAACAACCTGATTTCTCAAAACAAATTAATCACAATAGAGGAAGGAGGGTGGGGGATAAATTATAGATTAACACACATGCTGCTATATGGATCGTAAATTAACCAACTTTTGCCCTGGGAAGATGGTTCAGTGGTTATTCACTTGCTGTGTAAGCAGGAGGACTCGGAACTGGGATTCCCAGAACCCACTGAAAGGCTGAGTGGTCATGGTAACCCACTTGAAAACAAGAGAAAGGGGATCCCCAAAGCAAGCTGGTTCCAGAGATGAGCTGGATCAGTGAGCTCTGGGTTTGACTAAGAGACCCTTCCTGAAGGAATGAGGTGGAAACGAAATGGAAGGTGATTCTAACATTGTTTAGGCTTCCACATGCATGTGCACTCACACGCACTGACCCCTCCAACACACACACCCACATCAGAACCCAATCCAGCTGGCCTCCTGACCTCAGTCCTCCTGCCTCCAGAACTGTGAGGAGTAAACCTTTACTATTCGGGGGCTCGATTCTTAAACTGTGGATGGTGAGCCCACATGAGTTCACCTAACTAAATGTGAGAGCTGCAGAAAATATAGCAATGAAAAGTTTCTGAACATACAATGGGCCAGAATTAAGCAAAATCAAACACACAGTGAACCTGAGGTGTTTCTGATGGCCCTCGCCTATGTTGCCCTGAGATTCCACTGCAGTTTGGGTCCTGAACAAACAGCATGCTCATTTAGCACTGTGCAGGCCACCTCACCGCTGCCAATGAACACTGCCCAAAACATGTGGTCTCAGATCTGAGACTACTGCATTTTACCAACGGCAGTGTTTGTACTGCACAAAGTCTCTGCTCTCATAAACACAGTGGTTGAATTATAGAAAACAAAGGTTTGTTTTTTTTTTCACTTTTCTGCAACCATTCCTCAGCATGTAAGTATTAAATTAGTATATGTTTGGATTGTGTTAGAATGTTTGATTTTAAAAATCAAACTTTTTTTTTTAAAGTTGCTGACTTGAGCTTCTTTTAAATATTGTTAATTGGGGACTGGAGAGGTGGCTCGGTGGCTATGAATGGTGTGTGTTCTGAACACAACACTGCTCTTGTCCAGGACCTGGATTTGTGTCCCAACACCTACACAGGGCAGCTCACAACCACTGATAACTCCAGTACCTGAGGCTCCAACACCCCATTCTGTCCTCCAAGGGCATCTACATGAATGTGGTACACATAAACTCATACAGGCATATACAACATACACATAAAAAATATATACATAGCTTTCAAAAGCAAAAATAAAAAATTGACAAAATAATTTTTTCTTAGGATTAGGATAGAATTTCCAACACGATATGAAATGGTCCTAAACATATTTCTTTTCCTTTGTATTATGTGAAGCAGTGTTCTCTGCACTGCTGATTATAAAATCAAAATATTGATCACCTCTGAAAAACACTGAAGACGTTCTGAATCCCACAGCATCACAGAGTCAGCCACTACCAAATTCTTTGTGTGAAAAATGAACAAGTAAATCCATCTCATTAGAATGCAAATATGCTTTCACCTTTAATAAACGGTAAAAGTATATGGCCCCCAAAGAACTGTTGTAAAATAAATTTATGATTATTATAAATGTTTAGTTTATATGCCTACTTTATAAACCAGTCACATAAAAATTGCTTGGGCTAAAAGAGGTTACAAGTGGAAAAAGTAAAGCCCTGGTTTAAATCACCCATGATGGATAGCACCGTTAACAGCAGCTGGGCAGACCATGACGAGGGGCCCTTAGCGGATTCTGTTAAAAGCCACTTATCTCTCCTCCCCAGAAAAGTGCATATTCAGGCAGATCTGTCCAAATCAAGAAACTCTGGGGGCTCTAAAGAGCCACAGACTTTCTGTGGGGTTAGCAGTTAGAATAAAGGACAGAGGACATTCATTACATACTCTGCCGTGTGTCAAGTCGGCCTGGCGTTTAACAGACATCACCAAATCCTCCCCAGACACGAATGGGATAATGTGTGCGCATCATCCCCGTTTTACAGATGAGGACAGCAAAGACAGAGAAGAAACAATTCAATGGCAAGGTTGGAAAACTCTGTGAGAATCAGGGCCAGCCTGGAAACTCAGGCAGCTGGGATCTCCCCTCGCAAAAAAAAATGAAGGCACTCTTAAAGTTAAATATAAGAAGTAAATATGTCACTCTGAGTCACTCTCTAGTAAGGATGTCCTTAAATCCAGCTAACTTTAAGGGCCTTCCATGTGTCAGATGCAGCCAAGCACACATGATACCCAACTCCCAAAAAACCCTGTGACAGGCCTCTCACCTGGCCAGTTGACTGGGTACAGCCGGAGTCAATCATCCTGTGCCTCCAGCTGTACCACAGCAGACTCCCAGAAGTCAGGTCAATGGTCCCTACGTCACCCCTGACCTCTTCGTGATGAGAACCTTACTAAGTGGGTCATAGTCTAGTTCAATACTTCAATGTCCAGCCCTAAAATCTGTTCATGGAGTAAAATAACCCAACATCTAAGGACACTGTCCTCCTCACTCCAATCCTCCCACCTGAGATGACATCATGATGAGCCCATACTTCCAAAAGTTTGTACTTCAGTTTCAGAGGCATGCTAGACAGGATGGCCCACATGTAAGTGTGTGATATCTCAACACACATATACGAGAAAGACGAACATCATCATCACCCCGCCCCCCCCCCCCCCCCCCCCCCCCGCCCTTGCCCCCCAGGACTCACGGTTTCACAGTTCAAGCATCGGGTTTCATTGGTGAGTGTTCCCTGAAAGATCTCATGGACCCAGGTGAGTTCTGGTTTATTATTCTCTGCAGGTTCATTCATGTTGCCATTTTTTAATTTCCCGTTTTGTTTTTCCTGTTTCTTCTCTTCCTGCAGGATGTCCGCAATAGTGTTTAGCAAATAATTTAAAAATTCGTGAGCATCCTGCTGCATGTAGTTGTCAAAGAGATCTGGAAAGGAGAAGGCCATGATTTCACACTCTGCATCCTGGAGTGGACAGACAGGGTTTAACTCTCCAAGCCACGCTCCAGTATTTAGATCGAGAGTGGACAGGGGTGGCATTAAATACATTTCATCTCTACTATACAATTACGATGAGTGACTTTCCAAAGACTCATTCCTTTCTATTTCCTACCACCCACCAAACACTAATATCTCCTTACAGTCCCCTATAATAGTGAACTAACGTTTAATTATTCTAGAAAAGAACCAAAATTACTAGACAAAAACCCTGATAAAACATCCATTTGGTTTTTGTGTGTATGCATGCTGGGGGATGGGGGCACGCATGTGAGCAGGTGCACACTCGTGTGTGCGTGAGTATGAAGCGGGAGGAGGCTGACACCAGTGTCCTCCTCAGTCACGCTCCACTTTATTAGGAAAAGGTCTCTGTGGCTAACTCTGGCACTCACTCATTTGGCTGGACCAGCTAGCCAGCTTGCTCTAGCCATCCGCTGTCTCCACCCTCCACCTCCCATCTATTGGGATTACAGGCTGCCTACCACACCTGCCCAGCTCTTCATGTGAGTGCTGGGGATCTGAAATCTAGTCCTCTCTTTTGCTTGACAAGGACTTTATCTACTGATATTTATCCCTGAATATCCATTCTTAATATGACGTGACCACCAGTGACTAATTAGCCATGGAGTCATTTTTGCTATAGCAACTAGATTCTCTTCCTGAGAGTCATATTAAACCTAAGACCAGCCTGAAAGAATCTTATATGAAAGATGAAAGAGGAATGTGGAGCATACGTGAATAGAGCCTCTGTGAACCAGCTCCAACACCCCAAACCTACTGCTGCCCCTGCTCTCAGGACAAGCAAGCAGCTGGAAGCCCCTAGTACTAGTCACGCTCCCAACTACACTGGGAGGGTTGGCTTCCTTCTCTAGTCAGGTCACTTTTATTTTAGCATACATAAAATATTACAACTTCTAAAGATAGCTATCACATTTAACAAGACTTTATAAGACAAACACAGGGCTAACTGTGTAAGTGTACTGGAGTAAGGTGACCTCTGGGGCGGATACAAGTTCCCACATCAAATAGTCCCATAGTCAGAAAAATTAACAACGCAAAACTTCCGGAATACGAAACATATTTCAATCACCACTTCCCTTCCAAAAACAAGAGCTTGGGAACCTCATTACCGACTTTCGTATGACTCAGCTCATGACTGGGACAAACTCCTAACCAAGTACACTCAAAGAAGGATGGGTTTATCTGGTCTCACAGTTTCAGAGGGCTCTGCCCTTGGTTGCTCAGCCCCAGACAATGGGCAGAGCATCCATCACCCCAGCAACGGAGCATGGCAGAAGCCGGCTCCTTCACAGTGTACAAGAAGCACAGAACGAGGGGACTAGGAACCAGGTGTCACCTTTAAAGGCACACCCCTGTGATCTGCTTCATAGCTAAGTCCCAGCTCCTAAAGTTTCTATGACCTCCCCAAATAATACCATCAGCCGAGAATCAGCAACCCCAGACTGAACACACAGGAGCCTACAGGGGCACATGTCATTCAGCCTCTAACACTCATGTTATTTTTAACACACCAGAGCCACTGATTAGGTAACCTGTGTGTGCTTGCTTTAATCATCGTTCATAAAACAGTACTGCTCTGCTCAGTGATTACATCAACATATTTAACCCTAGGAGTGTAGTGCTCAAAAATCTGCCTTGGTCATTTTTTTTTTCTGTCTTACAATGATCCTTTCCAGAATGCAGCATGCTAAAAAAGAAAAAGAAAAAAAAAAAAGGAAGGGAGAAAGAAATCGTTCTAAATGGGATGTCAAATCTCAATTTTTAAATTTCTATTATGTTTCCTGTTTCTTGTAAAATGGGAAAAGAAGAAATGTCTTCTCATGGCTGGTGGTGCAGGCCTTTAGTCCCAGCACTAAGGAGGCAGAGGCAGGAGGATCTCTGTGAGTTCAAGGCCAGCCTAGTCTACAAAATGAGTTCCAGGACAGCTAGGGCTATAAAGAGAGACCCTGTCTTTCTTTTCTTTCTCCTCTCCCTTTTTTAATTTAATTAATTAATTAATTTTAATTCTTTTTTTTTTTTTTTGCAACAGGCCCTAATCATGTAGTTCTAGGTGGCCTGGAACTCATGGTTAGCTGCCTCTTTCTGTCTCCTGGGTGTTAGGATTAAAGTTCAACACCTGCTCTTGCGTTTTCTCTCTCTCTTTCAGATTTTTTCCCACTGTTATTTATGTGTGCATGTGTGTTGGGGGGGGGTGTCTATGTAAGTGTATGTAATATGTAGGGTATCTGTTCCCCTGGCACTGGAGTTACAGGTGGCTGTGAGCCACCCAGCATGGGCCCTGGGAACCAAACCCAAGCCCTCTGAAAGCGGAGCATGCACTTGGAAAGCGCTCGCTCCTAACCACTGAGCCACCTCCCCAGGCCCTGAAAGCACTATGGTTATCCATCCTCACTTTCCCTTTCGAGAACTAGAACAAGCTTTCCCATTTGGAGGGCTACCCAGAACCGCGGCTTTTTCCTTCCTCCGGAGCCTGAACCCCACGACGGCCACATCACTCACCGTTCTCCTTCCTCAGCCTCGAAATGAACTTCTTTGGTGGGATGACGCCAACCTTCTTCTTCTGCGTGGCGATGCTGTGGAAAAGGTCGGCCAGGCACGTCAACAGGTTTTCCTTCTTTTTTTGCTGGGCCTTGTATGCCAACACATTCTCCCGGAACGGCCGGCAAAAGTACAACGCCTGGAGCACGGAGTTGCAGTAGCACGTGTTTCCAAACTGCCAGAGCACAAGAGGGTTGGCTGCAGTCACTGTCCGGGGATGAGCCTCCTCCGAGCAGGGGAGGGGAGGGCGATAGATACCAGGATCCAGGGACCTGCCAGTCCCTACGCTCCCGTATCAGAGCCCAGCACGCCAACTTTGAGAACAGTGGATCTGATCAGCAGGGATCGGAACAAAAAGGTAGAGCAGTGGTTCTCAACCTTCCTAACACTGCGACCCTCTAATACGGTTCCTCACGTTGTGGTGACCCCCCCCCCCAACCATGAAACTATTTTCGTTGCTACTTCATAAGTGTAAGTTTGCTACTGTTACGACTCTGTGCTTTCCGATGGTCTTGGGCGACCCCTGGGAAAGGGTTGTTCGACCCCCAGAGGGGTGGCGACTCAGGCTGAGAACCACTGCGGTACAAAGTCACCCCCTCCCCGCAGCTGCAGGTTTGGTCGCCATGCTTTCAGTTATGGGGAGTCAAGCACTGTCTGTGAACATTACATAGAAAATGGCAGAAATAAATCATCTCTATTCTATTGTGTCCCGTTCTGAGCAGTGTGATGGGATCTCACACCATCCTGCATCATCCTGCCCGGGATGTCAATCATCTAGTGTAGCCACAATGTATGTGGTACCCGCCCACCAGTCACTTAGTAGCCACTTGGGCCTCACATGTAACCTTTGTATTACTCAACTATGGCCCCAACCTAGTATTAAGAGACAAACTAATACTGATGACTTACCGTAACTGTTCTATTTTATTAGAACATTATTTAATCTCTTGTGCCTAGCATATAAACTAAACTTAATCACCAGTATATACATATAGGGAAAACATAGTCTATATAGAGTTTGGTACTATCCAGTTTTAGGTATGCATTGGGGGTCCTGGAATGCATCCCCCACAGATGCGACTACCAGTTCTAGTGCTTTTCTGATCCATCAAAGTCTGACTTTTAATAAGCACTCTGACTAGGAATCTAATGAGATCAGGTACTTAGGAAAGAAGCTGGACGGTGGGGGTGCATGCCTTTGATCCCAGCACTGGGGAGGCAGAGCCAGGCAGGTCTCTGCAAGGCCAGTCTGGTCTACACAGCAAGTTCCTGGACAGCCAGGACTTTTACACAGCAAAACCCTGTCTTGAAAAAAGACAAAAGAAAAGGAGACAAAAAAAAAAAAAAGCTAGCATGGGTACTCAGAAAAGCAGCTGGTAAAGCCGAGGCACAAAGCTGTAAAAAAAAGCTCCCGTGGCAGCAGACACAGTGATGCGCGTTCATGAAACAGCTCTTGGGAAGCTGAGGCAAGTGGATCATTGCAGGTCGGAAGCCAGCCCGTACTACACAATGAGTTTGAGGCCAGCTTGAGCTATAGAGGGAGATCCTGTCTCAAAAAAAAAAAAAAAAAAAACCTTCTATGTCTATGAAAATTTAAAAAAAAAAAAAAACCTGAGAGGACTGGGGATGTAGCTCAATGGGAGATGTGTGTGTGTGTGTGTGTGTGTGTGTGTGTGTGTGTGTGTGTGTGATATGTGTATACATATGCATATATGTACACATGTACATGTACAGCACACACACACACACACATACAGTGGTGGGAAGGATTATTTAAGGAGTTAAGAGCCACCTGCCCAACAGAAACCTTTAGGGAACGGAGCTTGTTTTCCTTTGTCGGATTGCAGTGGCCGCTGCCCCCGGGTGCAAAGTCTCACTTGCTCCAATGCAGTAGAGCAAAAAGTGTCTCCGTAGGCCACCCTCCCGTCTTCCTAGCTCTTACCTTCTAAATTACCCTGCCTCGTGTTTCTTCCAAGGTGGCAATTGTCCCAGTACAGTATCGCACAAGTTCCTGGTCCCCCTATAATCAGATTAGGGCCCACACGGCAGACGTCTACCCCTCTCCAGGTCACAGACACTGAGATTTGGACTGCAGAGGCAAAGTCGTTATCTCACTGGTTCCTAAGTGGCTGGAAACCTAACTCCGTGGGAGGACCCAGCTGAGACCTGTACTTTACCACTATTCCCACTCAGCAAATGAGCAGGAAGCAATTCCAGAGAAATAACAAGATTCATAGCCCAGACTTCGAAGGTCAAAGGGAGCGTGGGCACCTTCTCTGAATGGCTTCTTGGTGCATACATCTTCGGTTCCTATGTATTTTAACATTCCCTGACACAACCATATAATGGGTGACAAACCCCTTCACACAGGGGCTGGCACCTCCATAAATTACCAGTCAAGGAATATAAATGAAGCTATTAATAGATGCAGCTTTTGTAATTCTTCTACTATCTAGGCAATAGCCATAATTCTCCACTGTCTGCATTTGTATTTTCCTTGGGAAACATTCCCATGGATTAAATAACTTTCTTCAGAGAGTTCAGTGGAGGCCCCTGCGCAGTGGCTAAAACAAACTGTATTAAAATTAGAAGACTGGGTTTGGCCAATATGACACCCTGTATTCCCAGGGCTGTGCTTACACCTTCCTCTGCCCAGGCTTCACTCTGCTTCTCGGTGTCTTTTACCCAGACACTCTTCAGTCACGACTGGCCTAAACTAGTGATCAACTCTGGGGGAATAAAAGGGGTATTTTCCAAGTGTCTACAACATGCCCAAGCCTCCACCAGAGCCTCACATAGGGGCTCTCGTCCACCCTTCACTGTGGCTCAAGAGGGAGAAACGACTGTAACCACTATTAACGTGGAAATGGAGGGCCAGAAAGGCCACGTTCCTTGCCACAGTTCACACCACAAATTAACAGTACATGGAGAATAAAAATATAGTTCTTTCCTTTATATCCAAGGCAGCATTTACTTGCAAAGAATGTGTCCAGCGTCTCCAAGCACACTTCACAGGAGGAAACTGGCAGACTGGCAGAGCAGCGCTCCAGAAATCCATGTGTCTGTGAGCTAACACCCTTATCACTTAAAACTTCTATTCTGTAAAGAGGGTACAGAGAAGTATAAAGCCCACAGGGGTGATGGGCAATACCACCTTAACATCTGGGCAATACCACCTTAACACCCGACTCACCACCTTACCAAGGAAGCACAGCATAGGTAGAGCCAGGTACTAGGGGGCTCCTGCCCAGCACAAAGGAAACGGTGTTGTGAAACAGTTTCCTCCAAGACTGAAACACCACATCCTACAGGGGAGCTCCTTAGGTAGGAAAGTAACCAACTCAAAATAGTTTCAGGAAGTCCCTGAAACTGACTGGATCCACTGGGCCCCCGCCCTGCTGGAGTGAGTAGACCTAAACAACACAGGAGACTCTCAGAAGAACAAAAGCTGAAAAGAGGACTCTGAGACTAGACGGCTGCCTGGAAGGAGCAGAAACCAGCCAGGCTGCCTGGAGGAGGTTCAGACCAGTCACCTGGAAAGGACACTGTCCACCCTGCTGGACGGCCTACAGGCTGTGCCGTGTGCTCCAGTTTTCCCAACTTTAGTGAACTGTCTGTCACCCATGCTGGGGTGGGCCTTGGTGATGCAGCTGTCTTTGACTCATTTCTGCTCCTCTAAGTAACCTTTCACCTATATTCTTGTAAGTAACCCTGATAAAACTCATTGGTTCACCACACTGGACTTGGATGGTATCTGTAGTTTGGTCTGTTGTGAGCTCCCCATTCTGGGTGAGGAGATGTGTGTGTTGCATCTCCTAGGAAACGTTTTTGTCAGATGACAACGGGGACAACAAGTAATTCTGGGATAAGGGACTCTTGGTCTTTGACTGACAGCTCACCTCTACCTCAAGTGGAGATCCTAATTGTATTATTCTATAGCTCTAATATAAGCTATATTATTAGCCAAATACAGGTCAAGTTGCATTGGCCCATGCCAAAACAAAGACTGAAAAGTTCATACTGTGAGAAACAGAGGACAAACCCAAGCAGGTTTGCCCATGAATGCTAATGAAACCACTGCGAAAGCAACATGTAAAAAAGGGAACCCCTCAGGGCATGCAGGAAAGGGGTTGTGGATTCAATCAATAATGTAGTAATTAAGTCCTTTGCTGGGGACGATTAGTACATTTTAAGTAGTAGATTAAAATACCCCTCTCTAGTACTTGCCTCTACTACTCACTAAAGCACAGTTATTTAAAAATGAATAATGATGATGATGGCTGCAGAGAGTGGGCGTGGTACATAAGCTTGTAATCCCAGTGCTCAGGCAGAGGCAAGAGGATCGCTGAAAGTTCAAGGCCAGCCCGGTCAACACAAGGAGTTGGGGACCAACAGAGCTACATTGCTAGATTTTTGTCTCACAAAGCAAAAACAAAAAAAGTCAGCAGAGTTACCTCAAATACTCTAAAACAGTGGAAACAATAGATACTTACATTGACCAACCCGAAGTAGTGTTCATTAATCGGAAACTGCTCTGGACCAATGTCTTTTTCCAGAGCAGAGGCATTGGTGCCCTACAAGAAAACATAAGGAAAGTTTTGTGAGATGAAAATAGACGAGGAGATAAGGGGGTGTGCCCTGGTCCACTCCCGACACCAGCATCCCTTGTCGACAACATATGAGGGGGGAGGATATGCAATGCTAAAACTCAGCCAGGAGACTTGCTAGCAATGCATGCCATCACGGTACTTCTCACCCAACGTATATGTTGCCCTAGCCCTGCACTGTGTGGTTTCAGGCGCCTCCCGTTAGATGATATCTGAGATAGATACGTAAATGAGAACGTGATCTTCTGAATAAAACATTCATGACAGCTGCAGCAACTTTCAGAAACAGAGTGCCTAGAAGATAGGACCACTTTCAAAGTCAATTTCTTTATTCTGATAAGGTTACGCCACACATCTGTTGAGCCAGGCACTCGTCTCGAGGGCCAAGCATTCATGAGCACGGTGACGGAACAGGCTTACATGCCTCTCATGGAGTTCCCATTTTCGTACATGAAGATAGCCTGGACCATGAAGCAATAAGACAATCCACTTGGAGATGATGAGTATAATGAAGAAAAAAGAGCCATGAGATGGGCTGGGGATGATGGGGATGCTGTGGCTGAGGGGCATGAGAGCTGTTAAAGCTGCATAACTGTATCTTGTAGAGTCATCAGGGAAGGTCTTACTGAGAAGGCACTATGCCCAGAGAGGGTTGCAGATAATGAAAGGATCCAATGTAACACCTGACAGCTGTCAGAGGCATCAGATTGCTAAGCCTGGTGATAGGCCAGCATGGCAAGTGTATCATCATCTCCTGAGACCTCTGTGCCAGGGACTGTACAGTTTATCCTCATGAAGCGTCTAACAACTAAGAACTATTGGTGATGACTCTTCTTAGTTGTCTACGTCTAGAATTAATTCAAAACCCAAGAGCGTGGATACACCTGTGAGGGACTTCTTTCTTAACTAAGTCATTTGCAGTAGGAAAACCCACTTGGAATCTGGATCTTTTGAGGTGGGAAAATCCACCTTTAACCTGGTCCACCCCTTCTCCCGGCAGCCTGTACAAAGGACATGAAAGAAGGAAGCTTGCTCTCTTTGCCTGCTTGCTCTTTTTCTTCACTGGCATTAGAGCCTACTTCCTTGGGATGCTAGCATATACTAAAGTCAGGCTGAGACATCCAGCCCTGTGGACTGAGCAACTACACGATGGGCCTTCCATTGGTACAGTCATTGTTAGACTAGCTGGACCTGGAAGGCATTCTGATAAATTTCCAAAGGCTGAACTGAGGAGTCAGGCTCAATCTTATCCAAATGTTGTCAGAGCCTATCTATCAAAACAACGATGAAGGCCCCCTACCTGGAGCCAGCCGCTGGTGATGGATGGTCATTTCTCCCTAAGATCTGAGCAGATTGGCTGTAAGTAAGAGAAGCTCACTCCAGTCAGGTACAATCATCATTGGCCACGGGAGCAGGCTCCAGGCCCCCTGGAAAGTTACTCAGTTCCTTTTCAAAATGGTACAGTCAGTGGTTCTCAACCTGACTAATGCTGCGACCCTTTAATACAGTTCCTCATGCTGTGGTGAAACCCTAACCATAAAATTATTTTGTTGCTACTTCATACCTATAATTTTGCCACTGTTGTGAATCGTAATATAAACACCAGATATGGGACCCCTGAGGAAGGGGTTGCGACCCACAGGTTGAGAACCAGTGGTATAGTGGTTGCTTATAACCTACGCACATCCTCCCGTGTGTCTTTCTTTTCTACATTACTTATAATACTTGGGATAATATAAAGGCTATATTAACTGTTAGAACACATGCTTGAATGCCTCTGATCTGCACTTAACTGGTCTGATGCTGTTCCCTCGCCATCTGCAGCCTTCTACTTCTCAGGCTGTCATGGAGGACCCGGAGCTCACAGGGACACAAGCATTTGGGAAACAGAGACCAGAAAGCTGAGTGTTTCATTCTTAAAAAGTAATGCTACTGGGCCCCGGAGGGATGGTTCATTAATGAAGAGTGGGTACTGCTCTTGTAGAGGATCTGAGTTTGGGATCCCACACCTAAGTCAGGTGGCTCACAAGCACCTGTAACTCCAGCTCCAGGGGATCTGAGGCCCTCTGCTGGATTCCATAGACATCTGCACACACATATACAGATAGACACACACATACACATATGCTTAAATAAATAACAATACATCCTAAACGATTTCTAACACTGTATGTTCCTTTATTTTTTATGTGTATGAATGTTTTGCCTGCATGTGTGCAAGCGCACTCTGTGTGTGCCTGGTACCAGAAGACAGAGTCAGATCCCCTAGGACTGGAGTTAAAGGTGGTTGTGAGCAACCATGTTGGTGCTGGGCCCAACCCAGGTCCTCTACAAGAGCAACAAGTACTCGTAGTAACCATTAGGCTATCTCTTTAGCCCCCTACTGCTGTATGCTCTTAACTCATACAATTATCGTCTCCTCCTCCAGGAAGACATGACCATGAAGCAGACCGAGAACCAGTCAAAATCGTCGCTTGCCCCAAAGCACACTTTAAATAGAAAACTCGAACCCGAGCTGTGGTGGTATTCTAATTGTACTGAAATGTGATTTTGATTGTATGTTAATAAATAAAGTTGCCCGGAACCAGGCAGTGTGGCGCACACCTTTAATCCTAGCACTCGGGAGGCAGAAGGAGGCGTATCTCTGTGAGTTCGAGGCCATCCTGGTCTCCAAAGCGAGTTCCAGGAACGGCACAAAGCTACACAGAGAAACCCTGTCTTGAAAAAACCAAAAATAAAATAAAATAAAAAATAAAGTTGCCCGGGAGTCAGAGCTATTAGAGCCATAGAAAGAGGGTGGCGGTGGTGGCGCACACCTTTAATCCCATAGATCTCTGTGTGTTCAGGGATACAGCCAGCATTGGAGACATACGCCTTTAAGACCTGGGGGGCTGTACATACAGACAGTGATGAGGCAGTCACGTGTTTGGGTTTACAACCAATGAGAAGGCAGAACAAAAAGACTATGAAAAGACATACACACAGGAAGTAGCTCTCTTTCGGAGAGCTAGGACCACTGCAGGAGGAAGGGTGAGATTTTAGCTCTGAGCTCTGACCTCTTGGCTTTCTCTTTTACATTGGTTCTATATTTCTTATTTAATAAGATGGTTGGTTACATCTACACTGAGCCAACTGAGTAGAAGAATGGCAGGTTCATACTCCCCATTCTTGTTTTCCATGTGATCTCTCTCTCTCTCTCTCTCTCTCTCTCTCTCTCTCTCTCTCTCTCTCTCTCTCTCTCTCTCTCGACTCCTTTACCTCCATCTGAGAGGGGACTCAATGCTCAAGCACAAGCCACTTTCAGTACATTTTCTTCAGGGTTATGAGTGAAAGAGCCATTGTCTCCACAACGACATGGCTTCGGTCTACAGATGAACTTTTGAAATACCAGATCAAATTATGGCAGGATTTCACCATACAGACAAAACAAAATAAAACAACAACAAAAAAAACTACTAACATTTTTAATAAAGTTACTTCTAAATCACAAATTAATGTAAATGGTGGGTATTAAATAGACCTACATCTATCTTCTTTTCAAAAAAAAAATTAGAACATAGGACAGGGAGATCAGGAGATCAGGACAGATGTAAGATATGAAACACAGCAGTTAAAACAAGATCTTATTAGTTCTTTGCTTCTAAAAAAAAAAAAGACAACATAGAGACGTTAATACATGATTTTTGCTAGATAAGTCTTGCCTGTCTTAGCACCAATTTTGCCATTTGTGGAAATGGAGCCTGGAAGTGAGGATGAAGATTTCTACAGAGAACAGAGAGACCCAGAGGTGACATAGTATCCACTCGCACAGATGGAAGGGTTATTATACTCTACCCATTGAACTTCCCACCCAGCAAAGTAGGAACCCATTGTGAACCAAATTCTCCATCTTCTTCAGAATGTACACTCAGACGAACATGCAGTACTGGGGGAAAGAAAGGTCCAACAACCACACTGACCAGATTCACCCAAATCCACCCAGTTCTGGAGGCCTTATGAACATACTGCATTCAAGCTGGGTGTGGTGACACAAGCCTTTAGTCCCAGCACTCAGGAGGCAGAGGCAGATGGATTGCTGAGTTCAAGGCCAGCCTGGTCTATAAAGCAAGTTCCAGGACAACTGGGGCTACACAGAGAAACTCTGCCAGAGAGAGAGAAAGAGAGAGAGAGAGAGAGAGAGAGAGAGGGGGAGGAAGGGAGGGAGGGAGGGACTGCATCCCAACATCATAGAGTGCAATTGCTCCTCACTCTACAATGACTATTTCCAACTTTTCTTGAGCATCCCCTTTACCTCTCTCTAGCTAAATAGGAAAAAATAAAATTTATACCAGCAGTCAAGGACTCCCTTCCCATCGGCTGCCGCTCACAATCCTCTGTGCCTCTATGATCTAAGCATCTCTCCTTCTCAGTCCATCGCATCATAAGCTCAACATCCTTCAGCATCTCTCATACCTCGCATACTCCATCCTATTTCCCCACCGCCGCCACCCCAATCTTACGTCTCCTTCAGAGCTTAACATCTTCTAACTGTTTCTACTGAAATGCATACAAATCAGAGGATTCCTAAGGTTGGTGAAGCAAGGAAAGGTACAGGAGGTGATAAGGCCATGTGGTCGAAGCTGAGTGACAGGTGTGGGTGGGTTCACTGGACTATCCTGTTTATATTTTTACACCTACAGTCATGGATCTTCTAACCATGAGGACACGTTCTGAGAAATGTGTTAGAAATGTGTTATTTGGGCCATTTTATCATTGATGGACATAGAAAGCACACACAAGCAGACTGAAAAGTACAACCTACCACCTACCTACACTATATGTAGTGTGTACTGCATACATGCACATAGGGATGGAACAGCTTATGCTTCTTGGGACATGACAAAGGAAGCAGAAGCTCAAGTCAAGCGCAAGGGAAAAGGGTGAGATCAAGAAGGCACATTGGAGAGCTGCATCACTGGTTATGAGCA